GCCCGTCCCAGCCCGCTGGAACATGCTGCGGCCGCACCGCCCGGTCTGGCCCGCTGGAATATGCTGCGGCCAGGCCAGAGACATCCTTCCCAGATAAGGTGGGAAGAGATAGGATGGGTTACTCCCCTCACCCCCAGCTTCTCCCCCCCCAAAAAATTTTCCCCACCAGTTGCTGTCCCAGCCGTCAGGGTAAGTATCTGGCACGCCGGGACACTTCGTTTACTAAGGTTTACCTTTGTGCCTGTGGACGCTCGAGGTAAACAAACCATCTCGGCCCGCCAGCGGCTTATCCTCATGGCCCGGGAGCCGAAGTTTGCTGACCCCTGGGTTGGCTTAAGAACGGGTCATAAAAATTTTCCATTTTTACTTATCCATCTTGGGGGGGGTTGGCTTATAAATGAACCGGCTTATGATCGAGTATATTTTTCCCCAATATGTTGAAAGATATCTAAATTTCATCAACATTTTTCATTTGGGGAAAATTTTAAGCCAATTCCGCAGCTGTTCAACACCCTCTTCCCTCCCCCCCCCCAATTTTTCAATGAAACTTTTCATAGCCAATTTTCAAGGGAAGGGCAGTTTAATCAAAAATAGATTTTTTTATGGAAAAAAAAACTTGTAGAAAACCAGAGAAAGGAAATTTTGACTAGCTCTACTCAGTAGTAAGTATCCACAAGACTGGGCTAGGTTGGAGAATGCTTCTCTTTGTAAGCCTTCCTGGAACTATATATTAAGCAATAATAAAAAGATGATCCTCTGCAGTCTCCAAGCTGAGAACCTCTCAGTTTAGAATATATCTTGCATCTCTATTTTCTTGCGTTCCTTTTTATGAACGAGTTACATGACACTCAGAAATATGCCCCATTCTTCCCAATGCCTCAGTCTAGTTATTAGTTTGGTGTAACATAAGATGCAACCGCAGTTGCATATCCAGGCCTGTTTATCCAAGTGACTCTAATTTTACACTCATCAGATGATCTAATTATGTATTTTTTGTTGTTATTAAAGTAACAAACCACTGATGGTCATTCATCATCTGGAGGACTGTCAATACTGCCAAGGTAATTTCAATTGTCTGACTGTTAAACTAATAATTTGAAGATTTTTAGAACATATATCCGCCAATCTCTAGATTGTTATATGGCCCCTTTCTATAGTTATCTGTAACACTGAATCACTTTCTCAGATGTGCTGCATATTCAATAGAAAGTATCTCCAAAAAGTAAATAATGAAAACAGGCTGCTTACAAACCCCACCACAAGCCTTTTACAACAGAGAACATGAAAAAATACCTTACAAAGCTGTTCTGCAAAGCCTGATGCAGTATTAGACGGTTTAAATTAAGATGCATGAATTTACTCCTAACTCATTGAACAGATTTAATATTGTTCTTTCCTCCTGAACTGGTAACCAGAGAAGGAGACTGGGGCATGACTGCTGAAATTGACCTAAGAAGAATTTACGGAGAATAATACACTTTTGTCAAGCTGTTGCTTGACACCCATTGAAATGAAAGGCTTCAGAAATAACAGGAGAAAGCTTCCATTTGTATAGCTGAAGGTTGTCCCGACACAGGACAAAACCAAAATGTGGTGATAGATCTGTGACCTGTCTCATTAGAAATGTGGAGAAAGCAAAGTCTCATGCATATGTTGCCCCAGTGAAGAAGAAAAAATAGGTTTTAGAAGAAGTGATTGAGAACAGCTTTTAAAACCATCACAACATCTTTTCTAGCACTGAAGAAGGTTTTTGCAGAAAATGAGGAAATACAAGAAATGGCTCAAAATAACTTCATCATGCTAAATCTCATGGTAAGGAGATATATATTGCACGTTTTAAATTGATGCATTTCAGCATACGTTGTCACGTTAGTATTATCTACCATGGCTTCATATGCTCCTATTCGCTAGTTTCACAAAGTGCAAATGAATATTTAATAATTTGCTTTTAATTTTCCTGCCAGCATGAAACCACAGATAAGAACTTGTCACCTGATGGACAATATGTACCTCGAATCATGTTTGTAGGTATGCACAATATATATCTTCTTTAAAAATGAAACCTCATTTCAATAGTATGTATGTGTTATAGGAATTTTCTCCCTCATGATATACAGGATATTTAACATTTTAATTTATTAATTTTTGAGTTAGCATGGTATATACCAAACCCTTGTCTCCTTCAAGGCATCAAACAAAACCATAAAAATTTAGGGCTGGAAGGGATCGTGAGAAACCACCTAGTCCATCTGCCTGCACTGAGGCAGGATTAAATATGCCTAGATCATCCCTGACAGCTGTTTGTCTTTAAAACCTCCAATGATGGGGATTCCACAACCTTCCTTGGAAGCGTATTCCAGAGCTTAACTGCCCTTATAGTTAGAACATTTCCCTTAATATCTAAATCTCCCTTGCTGCAGAATAAGACCATTACTTCTTGTCCTACCTTCAGTGGACATGGAGAAAAACTGATCCTCCTCCTCTTTATAACGGCCTTTTACCTATCTGAAGACTTATCAGTTTAGAGAAGAGAAGAATGAGGGAGTATTTAAATATCTCCTCTAGCAGCCGACAGCACGGACAGACAGATGCGCACACGCACACAGAAAAAGCAAGGCTCATCTCATCCAGCACACTAGAGGAGTAAGGGATAGGTGAGAGTTGGGGGTGAAGTGTATGTGAAAGTAGCTTGGGTTTGAGCCCCCCCTTCAATCTTAGAATTCCATTACCATAGGCTCTTCCCACTCCTGGGTTAAGCTTGAACATGGTGTGAAATTTTCAAAACATTGCCACTCAGTGTAGAATCTTTCGGCCCCTGGGGTGAGGGAGATGGCAGGGGCCAATGGTTCCACATCCTGGAAAGGAGATAATAAATGAAAGATGCAGCACTGGCAGATGGTGCAGAAGGGGAAGGGATCCACAAGCTATGGGAAAAAAAAAAGAGAGAGAGAGAGAGAGAGAGAAGTGATTTAAACAACTTGGATTTAAAATCAGTCTACCAGGCAGCTCACCACAGATCTGTCCACAAAAGAAATCAATGCTATATACATATTTCCCTGACCCTCCAAAACCAAGCAGAGTCTCAGCTATTGGCAAGTTTGGCAAAAGGGGGAGTTTACTGAGTTGCCTAACTAGAAAGAAATCTCCATGAATGTCTAATAAATTGCTCATACAGCATTGCAAATAGTATGTCCCTGCAAATAGTCTCACGGGTGCAGTGTGTATTTGTAATGCACTCGTCACTAGGCTGGTAAAAAAGGGATATGTCAGCCTGCAATATAACCCAGCTTTGCATGAGACCAGCTGATCCCAAAAAGAATTGAATCCAATGCCACATGGGGGTAGGGGTGCTCTGAAGCTGCAATGCAATCCCAGGGCTGCTCAAGTGGAAGAGGTTGTAAATGGGGAAATTATGCTAATGAGTGTTTGACACCACCACTACTCCTGTCGATCCTGGTCCCTCTCTTTCTAAGTGCCAGCCCTTACAGCTGCCATAAGCCCCATGCGGGGGATGAGAGATGGGGGGATGAAGGTGTGATGGGTTGCATCACAGAAACCCCCTTGGGAACTGCCAACTGATGTGCTAAGACTACTTCTGCCCCTGCTTTCCCTGCCAGCTTGGGACTCCAGCACCCTGTCTTGTTGAGCCAGACATGCCAGTCTGCTCTAACACAGATCCAGGGTCTGAACCACATGCCCCAAAGCTGCAGACTTAACTGAAAGCAATTTAAGAAGTG